ATGGAAGGCTGGGGGGGGGTCTTACATGGAAGGCTGGGGGGGGGGGTCTTACATGGAAGGCTGGGGGGGGGGGGCTTGCCAAGCATTAGTCCAAAATTGCTAAGGGGGGGAGAAAGTGTGTTTCCGGGCGTTGAGAAGCAATAAAGGGATTGTATGTATAGTACCCAAAACCCAAAAAATTCTCCCATATTCAACTCAAATGTTGAGAAAAGTCTTAAATAATTCTTTATTCTATATATCAAATAGATATATATATATATATATATATATATATACGGGAATGATAAATAGACCCAAGTTTTTATTAAATTGATTCACCCATCATGAAAAAAATAATGATTTTTGGATTCAATTCTCCATTATTATTAGATTTGCAACCAATAAAAATCAACCACATTCATCATGATTACCTTATTCTTCATCAAGGGTGGGTCTATTTAGTAAAAAAACATGGGTCTATTTAAAATTTCCTTATATATATATATATATATATATTAAAGTTAAGTTTTGTTATAACACTGATTTTTTTTTAAAAAATAAAGAAATTGGGTTTAAAACTGCAATCCTCTTGGGTGCTATTATTTGCAATCTTTGGTGCAACTTCTACTCCACCGTGTGTGAGGTCATTTAGAACCAATACAAACCTTTCTATCAACCATTCAGAAACAATGAAAGACAAGGTTTTTCTTCCAAAGGATTTTGAAGGAACTTTTTGTTTTGTTTTGTTTTGTCTTTCCAATCTTACTTTCTCTTCAACATTGATGTATGTTCATGCAAACCTCACCACAGCATTATTGCCATGGAGTGATGGTCATTTCCCTTTTTTTTTTTTTAATTTTTGTATTTATTCTATTAAATAATAATTTCCCCTTATTTAGCGAGTGCAAGAGATTTGTGTGGACTATTGAAGAATGGATTGCACAGCTGTCACCCATATCAGCTAATATTGTAGAGTCTGTGATTCTCACGGTTTCTCAAATCATGCATTTCTTTCAGGAACTCACTCAACTACATTGTAATTTATTTACTTATTTATTTGAACAATAGAAAAACTGATGAAATCCCTGATATAATGTTGAAAATTTCTCCCTTTGATTTAGACAAGTCCAACTCATTTCAAAGGCATTGATTTAGCACTGTATATTATGGCTTCATATTTTCAAATATGATAAATGAATAGAGTGACTGAATATGCTAATGAGATGTGATATGATGCTGTGTTTGCTTTAATATTGGCAACCTTAATAAGTTGGTGAAACGTGTGTGCAAAATGCTAGAGAATAAATAAACAAATAAAATGGAAAATGTATCATACAGTGTTTGCATATTACCTTTACAAGTCATGGTATAATTTCTAACTTCAGCAGATAGTCATCCGTATATGAGCATTTATATTTATATATTTGTTGCTATACTGGTTTTGGGAAATATAACACTTCGGTTACACATTTATTTTTAAATATTTGAAAAAAAAAAGGTAATATGATTTAATGTGTACTATGAGATATCTAATGTTTTGCATTCATACAATTTGAATATATGGTGTCCTCATTTTCAAACACCAACTTTGGGTAGTCTGCTGCTAATTGTTTTACACAAGTTAAAAAGTAAACGACACACCCATTAATTCAGGATTTTACAATGAATATATTGGCAAAATATGAATCAATTATGATCGTGGTGTTTGTGATATTTTATAGATTTCATTTAGCTAGATCAATTTATTTTTAGTGAACATTTTTGTATTACTTTTCTTCCGGAAAGTATTCGAATATGCTGCACAAGTCATGTGTTTTTTTATTCTAACTTTGTTCGAACCTACAGTATTATCCAACATGTGTTAAAAACAAAGGGATTGTGTTAAATTCAGTATTGCAAATGTTAAACACGTCTACTTTACAACCATAGATTTTATATGAATATGTTTAACAGCTGCATTTACCTCAAATGACAATTCTATCACAAACAACAAAAATGAAAGGTTTGAAAATAAATAAAAAATAAAAAATAAATACCATATGGCTAAGATGTCAAAATTTTATACATATTTTTTTAAATACCAAAAAATTGTACGTATCTCAAGATAATGCCACAATTGTCATATTGGAGGCAAAATCAATACTTGTTTATTTTTGGAGAGATGGGTTCTAAGAAACAAGGATTATTTTTGGGCAAGACACGTAGGATTGTGCTCCCAAGTCCCGTAAAAAAGCAATGGTAGGGCCAAACGTGGGGATGATGGCTATTTTCTCAAGTATATATTAAAGTCGATGTCACAGAAGCAAGTTCTATTTGTGTTGTGTTGAGACAAAGGATTGACCGAATTTCATGACATTCTCTGGTTTGGAGGTGGGGGATGGGGGGGGGGGTGCCTCCCAAAAGTTTTTTTGACTTGCCAAATGTGAGCTAACATGAGATTAACCCATTATCTACTAAAATTTTCTGTATCTTTACCTTATATTTTTAGATAAAATGTATGTATATATATATATATATATATATATAGCAATATTTCCTTCTTCCTTTCCCCATTCATTTTAGCAATTTCCTCTCCCGTCCACCCATCTATCCATCCTTTCTTATAAATATATATACATTCTTTCCTAAAGAAAAGACAGATTGAAAGTAAGTAAGCATTGACATTAGCAACCAAAGTGCAGAGTGGGCCACCAAAGGGGGGGGGGCATATCCCAGCTGCATATGCCCCCTCCCTCAGAATGTTTGTTTGTGTGTTGCTTAGAAACTCTCCCCCATAATCCCCCCCCCACACACACACAACTTTACACATTTTTCTTCTTCCACAGTATGGAAGTGTATTTCCATTTCTCATTCATGCTGAGTATTGTGAATCCCCACTTGGGTGGAGATTGAATATGAATAAGGAGACACAGACACACATGTGTGCGAATAACGCGATCAGAACATGCTGTCGTTGGTTTTATTCGAAGGACGAAAGGTGTTGTGGAAGTGTGGATACATTGTGGGTTAATCGGGACTGACTGACAGCGTGGCCAGTGCAGTGAGGGATGATATGCTGCGATTCTCTGAGACCACACAAGAGCCGGGTGATGTGGATTGTGTGTTGTTTCCAGAACATGGCTTGCAGGGTCGGGTTTCTGCAGTAGAAATGGAGATAGGATGAAGGAGACGAAGCAGAAAAAAGAGGAAAAAGATCAGCAGCGCATCTGGACAAGCACAGGGTCTCGGCGCATTAAAATGCCGTGGGTGGCCCCGCTGGAACGGCGATCCACAAACGGGGATGTGGATCGAAAACCAATTGGCGATGTCTGGCTAAGGACAGACACTCCCTTTCGACGACGACGACGACGTCGTCGGTGTTGTTATTGCATTATCTATTTGTTTTGTTTCGTCGCTTGTGAGCGACTTCGTCCATTTCGGGGCTAAGGGCGGCTCTATATATACCCTTTCAGCCTCGATCATCTCTTTCCGTTTGTGTGTATCGACCGCTGTCATCGATCAATGTTTTCCGATCTGGTCCAATCTCTGGAGTCTGATCGAATTCATCGAAGTGTATTGCAGTTGGAATCGGTGTTGCAACCTGAAGGATCGTCCGTCTGACGCTGTACTAGCTCCTGTCAGGTTGTGCTTAGAGGAGTGGGTCATCGCCGTCTGGAGAGCACGCAGAGCTGCACAAGCGACGGCGAGGCTGCGAGGTTTCTAGAATTGGGTGTGAGTTAGATACAGATCTGATCTGTCGATTCGCGGTTCCGTGTCAGTGCGCTCTGAGATTCCCCCAGCCTTCAGAAGGCTGTTTTCGTGTTGGGGCGATCACTGTTGACTGCTCGGGGATTTTGGTGCCTCATTTGGCATCAGTGATTAATTGCCGCGCGGTGTCAGTGAGGTAGTCTTGTTTTCCAACCTGCAGGTCGACGTTTAGATAGTGTTTTCGTGCCTCTAGACCGCAGTTTAGTTGTCGTGGTGATGCTGATTTTCTAGGGAGATTGGGTTGAGTGACTAGTTTGGTTATTCAATTTATCGCTGAGTTATGACATTCGCGCATGATGACTCATCTCGGTGTATCTGAGATGCGCAACATGTTTTGTTGTTGAGGAACTGAGATCCGAGGAATTTGATTCCGCTGAACTATGCAAAGTAGCTGTTGATTTATCGCAAAGGAAGGTGATTGAAGCAAGTCACCATGAGGCCGGACTGTGGTCCTCGTTGTGAGGATGTGAGGAGGGCGAAGATCATACCGCAGGAGTGCGACTTCCGTCATGTGCTGTCGCAGAGATCGTAGAGGTTTGTGGCATTCTATCAGACCCCGCTACAGTAACCTCCGAGAGCTAGCATTCAGTTACGAAGTCCCATCATCTCATCAGAATTTAGGGTGTGCGTTTGCACCGCGGTCGCGTGCCCGACGAAATTTGTGCGAATTTGTAAGACAAGGAAGAAAAAGACAAACAGCTTCCGTTAGGATTTATAATCATGTCCCGCTGAGTACACTGGCGCGCTTTCTGAAATACTTTGGGTTGCTCGAAGTTGTGTACTTGGGTCTAGCACTAGTGGGCCTTTGAGGCAGTTTACACTGGGACATACCAGCCAGGACACCACAAAACTGAGCAATCCTGTTGAACGAGAGGGGAAATTTGGACTCAAGCAGTTTGCATTAGGGATTCAACTTAAAAGTTCTTCAAAAGAAGGTAGTGCTTGCGTTGCACCATTCTGTCAGTGAAATGGAAAAGCGCCTCCTTCGAATCTAAAAAAAACTAAAATTCTTTCTTGGGTTCACCTTGGGTCCACTTTACCTTTCGTTCTCGAAGGGTTTCATTTGGACCCGAGTGTGATCCATCTTTGAGGGACAAAGCTGATAGAGCTGCCACAACAGAGCTAATATCCCCTCAACTTTTAAAGCAATATCAGTACATGGAGAAGGATTGCAGATGTTATGGACTCTTTCGGTTCAGGAGACACGGTTCTGGGAGGGACGTCAAATCTTCATCGAAAACCATTGTCAAAAGAATCTCAAAAGAGCACTTGCTTCGCTATGAAGCTGAGGACGTTAAGAAAGGTTCTCACAAGGGAGGCCGACCGGCAGCCAAATCCGCTCCACTCAGCGTTTACTATCCTCCGCTCATAACGACTGTCGGTCACGATCACGATGTTGAGAGGAAAATCTCCTTCAAAGAACTGCAAGAAGCTATGAAACGAGCATCTAGTTTACCACAGCCGCTGCTGACCCGGCACCGCATTAAGGAGACTTGTCATGAGTTTCGATCCAGGGTATGAGACCACTCTCCCGCGATGGCCTCTTCTTCCCTCACTTGGTTCCTTCAAAGCATACGATTCTTTTCATGTTCACATCCTCCATAGAAAATGTTCTGGTTGTGTACTAATTATTTGTGTTCGATGAGTAATTTGGTGATTGTTGCTGTTCGGATGTGCAGGACGCTGAAGGAAACAAAATGGTGAATGAGTACGTATGGAAGTGCAAGCTTGGAACAGGAAGCTATGGTAAAGTGGTGAGAACAGATTCTACTCCCCGATACACAAGCGTACATATACATATTGGGTGTGAAGTCTTTTAGATGCCACAGCGGATACTCCACTCTTTTGTTATTATAATACTAATCTGCATATGGTTTCGCGTTTTGTCATAATTTTGTCATTAAACCTAGAAAGTTGAGGCAGCCGCTCAATTGGGTTAGGAAATATAGTTTAGTAACATTGAGCCCTATTATCTGCTGTGCGAACGACCTCAAATTGGACTCATCGGTGTTTGTGTTATGAAGACTTCTTGTGAGATCTTGCTGTCCCGAGTTCCTCTTGTTTTGTTCGCTTGGTCTGAAAGGGCGACCACGCACTCAATTGTTTGAGGGGTCAGCAAAAGAGAATTCAAATACCAAGACCGTGCTGGATCTGAAATTCTAGCTTTTCAGTTTCTTCGAAGTTCAATATCAAGTCATGCACTTGCAGCATAAGCCAGTTGTATAATTCTACGTCAATATTTGCCAAAATCTGTGCAGGTTTTGTACCAAAGTAAGAAAGACGAAAAGCTGTATGCAATCAAGGTGTGAAACAATACTTGTTCATCTCCCTGCATTGGCCTGCATTCATACAGTATGAATACGGAGATCAAAAGAGCAGAATATGTGGGCATGTTCGGATTGGCTTTATTGTGTTCACTAACGGGAACTCTTATGGCAATGGTAGATTTTTCATAAGTCTCGGCTTTGCAAACTGCGGGTTTCTACGACAGAAACTGCCATGACCGATGTGCTCCGCGAGGTACAATGTTAACTCCACCATCTGCTGGGGCTTGCAAGTCTAACACGTTTATTTGATCACCGCAAAATCATCAATCAAGGAGGCTTGCAAGTATATGTATATATATATATGTATATCCTAAGAAGCTGGTGCACAGAAGCATTTGAGACATCTAAAACGAACCCCAAATTATCGTCAATCTTCATGCGAAATGCTGATCCAGTGTTTGCAATTGTGGGAACAGGTGTCCATAATGAAGCGGTTGGATCATCCCAACATTGTGAAACTTTATGAGGTCATTGATGATCCGCAGAGCGATAAAATGTATCTGGGTACCTGATGATCACCTTGGTAAAAGTAGCAGTGATTTCATATGACCTATTGCTGCAGAATGTCCTACTTTTGGAATTCCTTACTGGATCTATGTGTGTACAATTTTCGCAACTGCTCCTAAAAGACCAGTAGATGATAGTATCATGCACAGGAATCTGACTGTGTCATCGGATGTTGTGTTCTCAAGTGCTGGAGTATGCAGAAGGCAACCGGATCTTTGAAGGTAGCGGACCACCAGGAGGCATCGGCGAATCAGTTGCGAGAAGATATTTTCGAGATGTTGTTGCGGGCCTTTTATACCTCCATGGCCATGTGAGGTCTTCGTATTTCAGTCTGTGTTTCCTTCATTGCTTATAATAGCAGCCACCGTAAACCAATTTACTCTTCGAACTGGAGTTGGTCTCAAAGGGCTTTGCTGAACTAGTCAGGTCTTGTTTATAACTATTCCAAAATCAACTGACATAGGTTGTACAATGTATCCAGAATATCATCCACGGCGACATAAAACCAGAAAATCTTCTCCTAAGTGGAAACGGTTCAATCAAAATATGTGACTTTGGTGTCAGTCGCATGTTCGAGGTACGTATTCAAAGCAGCGAGTAAACTGTGCACCGGAAGCTTGCAAGCACCAATTTGAACACAACACTTTCCTCACCTCACAATGCTCTCTTTAGTAAATAGTTGTTTGCTCATCTCTGCTAACATCCAACCCCCTTTGACAGGGAGACGATCATGTGAGGCGATCTCCCGGGACCCCTGTCTACACAGCTCCGGAATGTTGCTCAGGTAAACTTTCTCGCTTTCATTTCAAAAGGAACCCTCCTCATCGCAAGGGTGTGCTTGCCTTGAGCCTGTGCTTCGTCATTCTCGAAACAAATCTATCCTTCTTCACCAGGAACTTTGTTGATGTTGTAAGCACGTTACACTGCTGATGGCTTTTTCTCATGCTATTGCTCCACCAGGACCGCATTATCGTGGACGACCTGCAGACGTCTGGGCCTTGGGATGCACGCTCTATGGTATGGTGTTTGGTCGCTACCCATTTGTGGGTGACGGCACATTCCCGTCAATTCACGATGAGGTACATGGACTCCTAAAGCCCTGCTTAACAAACCGTTCCTATTTCTCTCATGGCTTGAAATCACGGGTTATTGAACAGTTCTGAGGTATTGGCTCTAATCACTCAAAGCTCCCCGTCTGCAGATTGTGAAGCAGCCCTTATACATTCCCGGAGGCACGAACTCGGATCTCGCTGATTTGTTGCAAGGCCTTTTGTGCAAAGGTGAGATCTGATATTCTACTGACCGACACTCATCTTCCTGATAGATCTGTGCTGGTAATAGAACACGCGTTCAGAGAAATCAATAGAAAGTGATATAAAACGTGTAAGGAGGAACAAGTTGTGACAGTGTGCTTCTTACTGTTCAGATGCAAGGGTGCGTTTATCGATGCCTGCAGTCGCTTCTCACCCATGGCCAAGTCACGGCCACGGGCACGTCCAAGTGAGCTGCCACAAGAGGGCGTATGAATTCCAGCATTCGTTTCCTTCCAGTGGGTCTCCATTTGTTAATGGGCATGAAGAGCTGGAAAGTCTCGCTAGGTAACCTGATGACCTCTATAGCGCCGAGGCGGACGAAGCAATGGCTGAATTCCTCGTCGGTGGGAAAGTTACAACTCTTGTCTATCGTCTCATGATCGCAGAAGCAGTTCTACTTGATCGTTTTTTTTTTAGTATTTCTGTGTGTAAAAGGCTTGGTGAGTGTGTGAAAGGCTTGATAAGTGGTGAGTATGTGGTATAGTAGAAAAATACATGTGGAAATAAAAACACTAACAGTAACATGTACAGAGGAAGAAGTTTGTGTTACGTTTATACTTGCGTTGAACTAGGTCTTATCTAATGTGTTTAACACGTTTGGTATGATCACAATGTCTGAACCGAAGCTATTTAAACTGAAAATTGCGTTCTCTTCTTGATTTATACACATATTAAAACACATGGGTCTCTGTGTGGGTGGCGTAGCCTCTATTCTTCTTTGACTTCATTCCTAAACTGTAACAAAATTTTAAAAAATCCTTCTAAAATAAAGATAATAAAAGACCATTAAAAAGTAACATTTAAACTTCATTTTCTGATTACAGACAATTGGTGATGACAAGCGTAAACTTCTGTATGTGTGTATGTGCGTATGTATTTTTGAAGGTTTTGGGAAAAGTTTCAGCTTTACTCCATGTATTTTAAAAACGTATGTCCATAAACAGCACACACCACTCAAGAAGAGCAGCCAGACCCTACACAAGTCTCATAATCTCGAGTGTTGATAATCTCTGAACATAAAAAGCAATCATAATCTTTTGCACCTCCAGTTGAACATCTGAGTTTTGTCTTGCTCATTACATCTCTAATTTGAGAAGAAATCTGTCAACAGTTTTATCGCCAAGTTGTGGCAACCCTGCTGAATAATTCGATCGCCGATGAGGAGATCAGGGACGCTGCACAATCGCAGGCGAAGCCAAGAGCTTCCGGAAATGAGGCAGTTTGGCAGAACTAAACACAGAATATGCAACTCACTGGTGGTGAGTAGGGTGGTCATGCTTCTTCTTGGCTTAGCATGTGCCTGGAAATATCTGCCACAGAGTCCATTTCCAACTCCTCACTACGAGCATAGAGTCGTATTTTTCAAGCTGTATTCGGGGGATATGTATCAAAATTGTTTCAACGTCACTCAAACCCTGGGAGGAAACACACTGGTTCCTGCTTCTGTGAGGACGCGGCATCTGACTGAGTATGGCCTGTGTCCGCGGTGCAGGGTTTTTGGTGGCTTTTCGCACACCCACTGGTAACCGATTCCTGCAATCTCAAAAGGAGCGGAAGTTAGGGTTTCAAATCATACGCATCAGTTGTGAGTGTTTATGGAGAAATTAGCTGCAGGCAGCTGTTGTTGAAGAAGATGTGTGATTGATTGCGCATGACGCAGGAACCGAGAATACTATGTGAAGATGAGGGTTGGTAAATCAAAGAAGCTCTTTCACTTCCTCATTGACACAGGTAGCCAGCCTTCATGGCTTCACTGCAAGTGGCCAGCAATTGAGAAGCATCCTGTTGCAGTGAGTTGTTCCCGCATCATGGTTGACGATGGATTGTGTTCAGCACTGGAAGCTAATTCTAAAAGCCGAAATTACAAAACAATAACATACAATTTTTACTTTAATTCAAACCTTGCTTGATTGTTTGCCACGTGATTCATGTTAATTCGAAATCGTCAGGGACCCAACGGAATGTACGTGCCAGAGAAAGAGGTTCAGGTTGATTGCCGATCACCAGAGTGCTTGAGCCTCCAGAGGATACCATCGAACTTCAACAACATTCGCAACCTTTTTCCATGCAATGAACCAAACGATTGGCGATGTACGTATGATATCACATACCTCGACAGATCACATCTTCGTGGTTTCTATGTTCAAGACGTGGTGTCACTGGCGACGCTGGAGGGTGAGCAGCTGGATGCAAAGATAACCTTGGGGTACGCAACACCAAACCATCGTGCAGCTCCGTTTGGATTGTGAGCTTCGCAAGCGTCCAAAGTATGCAGTTAAGTTGGAGTTGGGATGCGGCGGAGTTGAATTAGTGCTTTCAGGTTCTCTCATATGATGATATAGTTGTTCCTGGCATGCATCGTCTGATCGATATGGCGAGGAGGAGTTGGAGAGAAGCCCACTCACTACTGATGGGTTGCTGGGATTGAACAAGGGCACGGAATCATTTGTATCGCAGTTGAAGAGGCAGGGAGCCATTTCATCACACGTAGTTGGGCATTGCTTCCGCTCTCTGGACACCACTGATTTCGAGACAAACTCTGGATTCATGTTCTTCGGCAAAAGCAAGCTTCTGGATTCACTTCCAATTACGTGGAGTCCCATGGCTTCTCCCACTAGTGACGGGTTAGTGTTCTTGTGCTAAGCTCAGCCCAACCCTAAATGACTGGTCAAGCCCACGCCTGTCAGATCTGTCCACACATTCATGGTTAAAGCTTAATCCAGCATCATTCATTTTTAGGTCAACTTTCCCCCTATCAACATGATTCTATGTAAAATTTCGCCAATGAAAATATAACGACAGTTTCATTCTCGTTGTGAAACTCAAAGTGCCGTTGCCATTGAAGCGTGATGGACAAAGCAGTATAGCTGAATACCTGTACAAAGTTTACGTGAAGAAGATAAAGTTGGGAGAATTATCCTTGGAGATGACTGACAAGTCCAATATTATCATCGACAGTGGTAGCACCACCACTCATATACTGGACTCAATATACAATCCTATCCGTGATGAGGTGAGTGTGACATAGAACTGAAGTTATACAAACGTCACTCTCGTATTTGCATAGAATGCCTTGCAGTAATGTGGGATTCGAAGGTTGTCATGCACAAAATTGGAGTGCCAGAAGAAACTTTCTCTCGCACATGAACAATTTCACAACTAGCGTTGAACTTATTTATTTATTTATTTATTTGTTTGTTGTGTGTGTGTACGCGTAAGAGTTACAGGTAGCGAAGCAAGCTCTACTGAAAGGATACGTTTCATTCCAAGGCACGGTTCCAGATTCGTACTACAACCAACTAAAGCATTGCTGGTGCATCCCGACAGGGTATGGGTTCACTCACCGATACTCTTGGATTCCACATCTCGTGTTCTTCTCATTCTTCTTTTTCTTATTTATACAACCAAAATGGAATTCATGATGAAAAATGGAATAGAATTCACACTTGAGAACAAAATTACCACATGCAACACGTCTCCACTGGACGGTGAGAGTTTTTGCAGCGGCGCTCCAGATAGGGACTTCGAGATGCTGCACATACAGCTACAAGAGAGCCGCAGTGGTCACGATCCCGAGAAAGGCAAAGACTATCCACGGCAAACAAAAGCATCGTTGGACTTGAAACCGGAGCAATACCTGATGTGGAAGGTGCAGCTAGCTCATCATTACGCCCTCAAACACAAACTCAACCAATGCAAACAAACCTCCGGCAATGTTTGAGTTGTGTGTCTGGAAAGTGCAGGACTGTTCCGTGGATGGATGCGACCTCCTCTGCTTCAGCGTGGAACCCGAGCAGCAGCAGCAGCCAGAGGGCGAAGCTGCTCACCAAGTCGCCACCATCGGAGGTTCCTCTTTCTGTCTCCACCATCACCCTGCTAAACACACACTTTCATAAGTTAAGAACATGCATAGGTGACAGTTACAGTGACAGAGCGTGCGGGTGGCGATGGCGTGGGGCAGGGTTTGCGCTGCAAGGATTCCTGGTGGTAATGGACGCAGAGCAGGACCAGTTCGGGTGGGCGCGCAGCTCCTGCGACGACGAAGAATACAAGTTTCACTACTCATTTTAAGACTCAAAAGTAATGGTTGGGAATATTTTGAAAACTTTTTTGAAGTGGCTTGAAGGATAAAGTGCAAATTGGTGAGGATCGTTTTGAAAGCAACAACAAAAGCCACCAACCAACATGTTTAATACTGACATGTATCAAAGCAATTCTCTCTACATTTTATGTAAATACCGAAGTAAAGAATGCAAAGCAAAGAACCTGCCTCCCCCCATCTCCGGAACACACACAGGTTGTAAATATATAACCATAAGTAAATAAAATGATATAAAATGAAGTGAATGGAGTGAGGTAGGTCGAAAGGATCAAGCCATGGTGCAATCACGCACTGAAACCTTTGCCTGTAGCAAAGGGAATTTTCAGTGCTGGACACTACACTCTTAGTAGTCGCAGCAGCCATAAAATCTCCTTTCTCGTAAGCTTTGCTGCAAGCTCAGTCAAACTCCACCCTCATATTTGTGACTCTAGTAGCTTCAAGGAACAGTAAAATGAAAATTAGAATAGTGCGTTTGCCAGGAGTCCAACCCGGATCCATTGCTTGGAAGGCATTTATCCTAACCGTGAAATCCCCACGGGGATTAAAAACAAGCACCAAAATGAGTTACTGAAGTGCCTTGGCACGTGTAGTCCTACTATTGGTCATTGTCGGGATGTGCCATTCCTGGGATTTAGATCCGTTGCATGCCTATTCTTATATCTTGAAGACAAGATTGATAAATTGGTACTAATTGGAAATGGTTTCACTTTAGATTTTATTAGTAACCATACGCTGTAGATACTTGTGTTATCATCTTGGATGTCTTGGTCCTAGGTCAAAGTACTGACGTCCGTCTGCCATCCATCTTTGAAAGTTGTCGCCATGCAAGTACTGAGTTGTGGCTCCATAAATTTCTAGGATAGTAATGCTGCCTTGAAATGATGGGTTTTGTTGGGCTGAGTCTACTAGGTGGATGAGATCTTCTGGTCCATATGGCACTGCATCATACCATCTTTGTCTAGCTTCATTAATTCTTTGTTGGCGTTGAGTCGTTCTGGGTGAGTCTAGAGGTTGATCGAGTCGTTCGTATTTCATATTTGTTAGTATCTCTTTGACCTCTCTTTCCATTTCTTCTTCATTAAGTAGGGTTTGATGTAGGTTAGTGTCTATTGTCAATTGTGTTGATTGTAGATTATTGGCCATCTCCATCGGAATTGCTTTGATTACCTCTGCTTGTTCCAGGATGTCCTTGATTTGAGAGGAGGAGGGTGTTTATGTCGGAGTAGAGAACCTGATTTGTTGTTCGTGTATGCCTTTGTCAATCTCATCAAAATGATCATCTATAGCCAAGGATAACCCTCTGCTAGAGTTTGAGCTTGCTGTCTCATCCAATGAGATCGTTTGCCTTGGCCTTAATGGCATTTGAAGGACAGCTTGTGCTAGGTCGTGTGGAAGAAAGGCGGATGGTGGAAGCCATTTCCAGGACGGTGGATTACCAACAGTGGCAAAAACTCTTTGCTGAGTCTAGACCGTGTTGAAAAGGGTTGTTAGCTCAGTGATCTTGTCTTGGCTACATTTATGTCTGAAAATGCTACGCCATACCTCTGCACCAACATGGATTATTATTTTCCACGAGTAGAACAAAACTTTGCCGAGCGAAAACGGATGGCCGTTTAGTTCTTCTTCATACTTTTGAATCCAAATATTCCAGTTAAGACTAGCTCATAGTATATCCCATGGTGTATTATCGTTAACTTGTATCTTAGCTCCTGCATCCCATGAAGATGTCTGAGCAATGTCTGTGTTATTAGGTAGATTTAGTAAACCAAATCGGATGTTATTCCATTGTGAGTAGTCATCTGGGAGGTGACTTTGGGATCTAAGTGTTTTGAGGTACTTCCATGTAGGTGCAACCCTTGGACACTTGAATAATGTGTGTTCACTTGTTTCTGTTTTGTCGAAGTGACATAGTCTACATGTATTTGCTGATGAAGCTTTAGCTCTCCATTCTCCTATTGGTAAGCCTTCCGCAAGGTGCAGCCATTGCATGGCCGCTATCTTGCGAGGTATCCATGGGTGCCAGATCCGTTGTGTGAGTTGTCGTTGCTGTTTAGATGAGTAACCCTGTGCCTCCAAATCTTTGAGATCATGCATTTGTTTGCTTGTTTTCCTAAGAGCCTCTTGATATCCCCGCTTGGTTGTATATTGAAAGAAATTGCAAGGTTGGAGGCATCCCAATCTGGCCCATTGCCAGTCCCTAGGGTCCCACCCTAGTTGACTAATAGGAACTGTACCGAAGAGCCATAATCTTTCATCTTCAGTCACAGTTTCTGGGTTATATGATAACACACCACATTTAGCTCCCATTGTTTGAATGATTCTGACATGCTGGTGGTTACCTCGTGGTAGTAGTTGTAGTTGATTGTCAATGGGTTTGATTTCCTCTGAAGGTAGGACAATATAGACTTTACATAGCCACTCTCTTCCGTCTGTTTTTTGTGTATGGTATATGGTATCTATACTCGAGGTTGTGAGTGTTATCCACTCGCCTGTTTTCAGAGGAATCTGAGAAGGAGGGTCCCAAGGAATAGCCCGCTTAAGTGCTGCCCAATGTGTTGCTGTTGTGCGTGAGCATGTAGCTGACTTGATGAAGTTTTCCGTGTGCCATCGTCCTGTTGGCTGAAATACCACGTCTTCAGTCTGAAAAACACCTCTCTTAGCCCATGTATAAAATCTAGAATCTGCTTCAATGCCAAAGAGGGTGCCAGAAGCTTGTCTAATCAATGTATTTCTAAATAGCGGCTGTCTAAGGACCTCTGTTGGATGGATTGGGGCAATCTGTTGCAGGCCGGATTTAGTTGAATTCCAAGATTGAAACGTTGCTCGCCATAGCAGGGTAGATCTTACAGGTGCTGTTCGGCTTGCGTTGATCCAATGTATGTGTCTGGGCCATTTTCCCGCCCCGGTGGGTAGGCAATTATCCTAACCGTTAGACTACAAACGCCTTGGAGGTAGTACAACTATAACCTGTGGGGAACTTATCGTTCGTAATTTTTCTTTTCATAGTGTTGGCTTGAGGCGCTCAGTTGTAAGAGCCGTGGCAGCGTCATTGACTGACGGTGAGTTGCCCCTGCAGACACAGTTTGTTTTGGCCAGACCTGCGCCGCTCAGTCTGTACGCATTTAATTTGTCGTTTCAGATGTGACA